TCCACCTACGAACCATGCTGGTCATCCATAGCTCTTGTCAGAAAGTGGTTGAAGAGAGTCTTGATCGACGGTCACGGAATACGGACCGTCGTTTGACCTACGGACCATAAGTCCGTCCGTCGTCTAAGACTTAACCAATTTTTCTAGGCTGAAATTTTTGAGAGTTTCTGATCCCATCGACGGTTGTGCAGGATGGACCTTGGTTCAAGCTATGGTCCGTCGGTGCCACCGTTTGTAGCACCTGCAGATTTTTCTGAAAAACTAATTTTTTGGTCTGTTTTGACTATGGGTGTTACATTTTTTTCTCTCTTTCTGAACATACAAAAAAATGTTGTTCTCTTTTGCTATAATGATAACATCCCCCACAAGTTTCGTGTTAACCTAAAATTATAAATAGGACATTCAACATTTCCTTCAAAGTTCAGTTTCTCCTGTCAACAATTTCATTAGATTGAGGTAAGAATGTGCAGTAATGATTCCATTTTCTGCAAAAGAAGATTCATATTCTTCAAATCTACCACTTCTAATCATGAAATATTCAACTGACTTTCAACTTCAGTTTTATATTGCCTATATGTTTCTATTGTTTCATCCTTCCCATTCAGCAAATAAACATAACAATATCTAGTGCAATTGGTAATAAAAGTTATGAAATAATTTTTCCTACCACGAGATGATATTGATTTCATATCACAAATGTCAGTGTAAATCAATTCAAAGGTATGTTAATTCATTTCAACAACACATACTTGACATTTATTTATTGTACTAGAAGTTAGGCAAAACTTCTAAATTGATCAGCTTTTGCAAAATTTCGTAACTGACATGTCTCAAGCATTTATGTCACAAACAATTTGAGTCAAATAAGTAAGAACAAACAAAAACGCTAAGTTTGAAAAAGACCTTCTGTGAGGTAATCTTTTCTCACAAATATTTTGTTCTTTACTTTTTAGAATTTTTCTCAAATACAGACATTATTTTATAGTCAACACCTTGTGATATGTCCTTTTAAGAAGGACATTTCAATAACATTCAATTTAGAATTACGCATGAGCATTGTCTCATTGGTCCAATAAGGGCAATATCACCCAAATGATTGTTTTACAACACATACATAACATGTCACTTTTCACCAATGTTCATGTCTATACAAAAAAAAAATTAATAGACATATATTTTCATGAAAAATCACAATATTTTAAGTGAAATTTATTCATCAAAAAATACAATTCTGTTGAACGAGTAATATAATTTTGTGGTTTTATACTGGTCATCTCATATACTAGTAAAGAGAGACTCAATGACCACAATATCAAATATATACTCCAAGAATTTTGAGGGTCTAACATGATACAAGAGTGTCATCAAATTTCATATCTTGTACTTTTAAATTTAAATTAGATAGTAAGTCTAATTTTGTCTTTGTCACAAGTAACGAACCCTCACATTTTAAATATGTTCTAAAAAATATTTTTCAAGTATTTGAAATTATTTTTCACATATATTTATTTTCATGCTTTCAAATTGTATACCATCAAAATACACATTGACAACACGAAACCTTCTTTTGGAGATTTAATACATAGAAACACCCATTGCATGCACAAAAATCACTAATTTTGTGTTACTGGTGTTTTTTTTTCCTTTCTGTCATAACTAGACAGACCACTTAGTATTTAGAATACTATAATAAAGATTCAATCTTTATACAACTTGTTTCTAGTTTAACTATGTTGTTTTTATATTCTTCTAATTGTTAACCGAATGAACCTCAAATGCTGATGAAGTTTTTCATATTTTTCTAATCAGTTTTATATTCAGACAGAGTAGTAAACCAAAAAGGTTTAATCTCTAGAAACCTCAAATACAACATTGTTTCTAGCTAACAAAAAAATAATTTTTTTTCGAATCTTTAGCCTTAATATTTCTGACGAAGATTTTGCACTCTTCAAGTCAGAATATTCATTGGAACATAGTATCTAACAATTGGTGAAGTTTTCTCTAAACTTCAAACCAGTGCACAATTTGATTTGTTTGTGAATTTCTTATATTCTTCAAACCAAAGGAGTACAAAAAAGAAGAAGATGATTTAGTCTCCAAAGGTCAAACACAATCAAAATTCTCATGGAGTATAAAATACAAAAGTTTTTTTTTCTGTCGTAACATAATACATATTATTTATTATCATCACGTAATGACCATCTATCCTAAAATTTATGATATAAATATCATAACTTATAAAGGATAAGGAGGAAAAATGAAATAATCAAGTGAAATAAAATTAGAACTTGATTATTAGTCTCATTGAATCATATTTTATCTGTCAACAATGATTTCATGCAAGTCACTTACCTTGCTATTTTTTTTTCTCAGTTTCCATCCATCATATTCTTATTTTTCTCAAGAAGACATTTAATTTCAACAAGAAACTAAAATCAGGTTCAAATATTTGAACATTTACTTCTTCTCATAGTTATGTAAAACCAAGAATATAGAAAAAATAAAATTGAAGTGCATATCATAACGTCTATGCACAAAATAACTTTTCTTATTGAAAAGAAAACTGAAGGGGTGCAATGCTTGAATGCACTTAAGAAGAAAATGAAATTTATTTTTACCCATCAAAGAAAAACTTCCTACTGATTATATACTAGAAATATATTAAAATAGTAATAATTCATCTCAAATCTCTTTTATCATACAATAAAATAATTTTCTTTTTCCTCTTCTTCTTTCCAACAAAAAGTACACAAAAAATAGAAGTAATTTTCTTACTTCAGAAAATACCATCAATATAAATTTCTTAAGCTTGTTATCTCGTGTATTCAAATTAGCAAACCAGAAGAAATAAAAGATGAAAAGAAAAACAAAAAGAATTATCCAAGTCCACACAATCTACTTTGTGTCCTTAAGAAATTTAATCCCCTCAATTACCAGAGGTTACATATTAATTCCTCCCAAGATAAAACGGATTAACCATTAAATAAGTAGCAGTACCTCAAACTTCAATAATTTCAAGGAATTCAAAATGACAGCAACAAATCACACATACAGACAGGATCAATGGATTTTGTTTTGTAAGAAATGTAAACAAAAGAATGGAAGAATTCAATGCGGAAAAATGAGAGACAACCTCTCTATTTATAGCCAACAAAGGGTAAATATCACAACTCTTAGGAAAGAAGACAGCCTTCTAGAAAGGTCACAACAATTGGAAAAGGCACAACCTTTCAAACGGTCATAGCCCTTTAGAAATGACACAACCTTTCATAAAGGTTACAACCTTCCGGCAAAGTGACAACCCTTCAAGAGAGTCACAACCCTTCATTTCCTGATCATACCTTTAAAACCCGACAATCCCCCCATGAATAGTAAATGACTATTTTTTTAAAACTTATGCATGAAAAATTGTGTGATTTGTAAGTAAGGGTTAATCACATCTGGATAAGTAGGTTTTCCTTTAAACTTTACGTAGTGAACGTATGTCGGATATACTTGGTTAATCGGTAGATTTGATATCTTTGAACCGTCGAGCACAATCAACCCTTGAACTGTTTTTGGTTCTCATTGTTTTGTTCATTTCAGTCATGAACACATCTCGGTTAATAAGTTCTTAGAAAATTGGCCTTACCGGATTCTCCTTGAAGTGACTTACACTTCACACTTAGATTAGGTGATTTTTAAATGTGTTATCATGTAGATACACCATTTGATATACCCTGTATCACTTAAAAACCATTAAAAGTCCTAATGCCTTTATCCTTGTTACCGAACATTGTCTTATCATGAGAATGGACCATAAAAAATAATATTCTGACAATGTTGAACCGTCACTAATGACTTTGTTTGATCTCCTCGAACCTAGATCTTGGGATCTCCAGTCTTCTAGGTAGAGTTACCGCCACAATGACTTGTTCTCAGCCATAGTCTCATTCCCTTTGATAATCTATCAACTTCCTCTCTAGTTTGGCCTTTTATAGGTGGATCCGACACATTATCCTTTGACATTACATAGTAAATTAATAATTTCACTAGAGAGTAGTTCTCTAACGATATTATGTCTACGTCATATATGACGAGACCTTTCATTATAAATCATACTCCATGCCCAAAGTGGATCCGACACATTATCCTAGTGTATGCATATTGTAGCTAAAGGTTTGGGCAAAAAATCTTTTTGTGTATGCATATTATGCACGATCGATCGATTTTGTTTTGTAAGAAATGTATACAAAAGAATGAAAGAATTCAATACTGATAAATGCGAGACTGGAGAGGGAGGAGAGAGGCGAGCAAGAGAGGGCAAATAGTGGGAGAGAGGTGAATTTTATATATATATATATATATATATATATATATATATATATATGTCAAATAATTGTATATTATTCCTATATATTTGTATATTCTGGCGAATTATACAGATACAATCATTACTAATTATACAAACTCGAAGTGAGAATACTGTTAGTTCGAGTGATAATTATAGCAAACTATAACTATAATGAGTAATTAAATAGTATAAATTTACTTTGTTGCGTAATTTTCCTTTTTTATAAACCCCAACAAAATAGAAATCTTACACAAAATAACATTTATTTTACTCAATATATTTAAGATAATTCGAAACAAAACATAATAAGCACACAAAAGTAAAACGATAATTTCTTATATTTATTCACATTATAATAAAATAATTATAATATAGGAACATTTTACTTGTAACTTTTCTTTTAATTTTTAAAAGATAAAAATGAAGGATATAAACGTCAATTTTAGACGATCTTTACCTTCGTGTTGTCCCAAACAACGCCCGGTCGTGTACTGAAACTCCAATAACATAATAATCACTTTTTTCACTATTCTCACATGCTGTCACTGCCACGTGTACAATTTAAAAAGCCTAAACTAATCAAAACTGCTCATTTACAGAATTACATCACCGACAAGTAATACCAACATATCTTCTGCAAAAATATAAAATGAAGAGAGAGAAAAAAGAAGAATGATATTATAGATAGAACTTAACATTTTGGTACTTTTTCCGATGGCATAAAACGGTTCAATCTGTGTTATAGAAGCTAATACGTCGTCGTTTTATTGAATCTGAATCGATTATGGTGTTCTTCTGACGACGGCGATTCCAAAAAACCTACCGGCGATCGGTTCTGATGAAGTGAACATTCTAGAATCTTCGATTTGATCGGCGGATTTTCAGTTTATTTATTTGGCTGTTATTGATTTATTGGGAAAGAGGAAGAAATAAAGGGATTCAATGAAAGGTGGTGTTGGTGGAGAAGTCGCGGAAGCTCCGGCGGGTCCACCACCGCCGCTAGAGTGGAAATTTTCACAGGTTTTTGGTGAACGTACGGCTGGTGAAGAAGTGCAGGAAGGTAATTTTATGTTAATTACAGTACTTGATTTTGATTATTGTTTAATCTGGATCCGTAGACATTTTGGTGTTAGGGTTTGTTTATTGGATATTGATCTGTTATTTTGGTCAATTGATTGCGAGTAGGATGAATCTGTTAGATTCCGATCCTGGATCTGATTGATTGATTTGCTTGTTTTTTTTTTAATCAATCGACTGTATGAACAGTATAGAACTGAACTTTACCAAGTATATGGAACTATAGTATGCTGTTATTTGTGAACTTTGCTTGGACAGCATCAGTTGTCAATTCTTAGTGGAGTTTCTTCATTGTTAATTTTGGTCATGTGTTGAAGCATTTTTACTCAAATGTGAATCATAAGGGTGTAAGTACGGATGTGAGACTAGATTTCTATGTGCATTTGTATGAAATGTTGCTTCTACTTCTATTTTTGGCAAATTCCTTTATTGACGTGCACGAGGATATTTTATAGTTCCATCTTTTGAGCTGCTTGAGATTGAGGGGTATGTTGCACAAAAGGGATGCCTGCAAACCAACTTGTATTGGCTAAGGTGGGAGTTGAAGTAAGGGCCGATGGTATGACTAAGATAACTCCTTGTGAGACATTTTCCGAAACTAGAATCATTTTCAGAAGTCTAACACCTTGTAGGACTTGTAAAAAAGACTCAAGATTTCCATAGGGATGTAGGCTTGATTAGGGTAAGTGATTCATCATAAGCTAACTATTGGTTAAGAGAATTTGTTTTTTCTATTCTGCTGTAAATAAGATTATCCCTTTCACAAGAAGCACTTGAGATTTGTTCCAGTGGAGTGCGCTAGCATATTATATAGGCTCTCGACCGTCACCCCTGTCCCCGACTGAGAACACGACCCTAGTCTACCATCGTATACCAAAACCACTAAAGCAAATATTAAATAAACAAGAGTATACAACAAAAAAGCAGGAATCAATACTAAACTAATACAACAAGGAGCAGCGACAAGTAAGAAAACAACAAAGAAATAACAAACAGTGGGCAGAACTTGAACAAGACATATAGGCCAGCAGGCTGGATTTGAACCAGATCCAGATGGCAGAAGGCAGTAATAAAACACAAAAATTCAACAGTTAATAGTATACAGAAGGCAGAGATTGATCACGAAAGTAGAGACCAAATGGCAGAAATTGAAGACAAGAATAGAGACCAAATGGCAGAAATTGAACTAGAAAATAGCAAGCAGAGGGCAGTCATAAGAATTGAAAGGCAGAATACAGAAGGTAGAAATTGAACACAAAAACAAATGATAAAAATTAAACAAGAAGAAACAAGAAATAGCAATCACAGGGGATGGGAGATCTTCTAAGGTCAGGAGGTAGCAATCACATTATTCATATGGATGGAAGTTGTTAAAAAATCTACAACCTTCGGGTGGACTTGGCTAAAAATATTTAAGTGGAAGTAGTATCCAGATAGGTTATTCCATCCAGTTGGGATTAAAACTTAGTTGTGTTTTTTTTTTTGAGTATTGTTAACAAAAACTTAGTTGTTTTACACGTACATAAAGCTTTGGCCTGGTGTTTGTCGGGAACATAATCTTCCTAGTCTTGTTGGAGACTTGTAAATCGATATAGGGCTAGGTGCGATTTATGCTATCTAGTTTGTTGAACCCTCGGAATGCATAATACAGCAATATCTTTTAGTAATCAGTTTTATTTTACATGACGCTATTTGACTAGGTATGAAGTTTAGAAAGAAAAAAGTACCTTTAGAACCTGTATCTTAAAGATGACATAATACTTCCTATGACTGTAAGAACATGTCATTAAGGGTGAAATTGGAAGTATAGAGTGAAAGAGTTAACAAATATAGACAGGTGCTATATTTTAGAGCAAACCAAAAAGAAATATGCTATGTGGAATGAAACAAATGGAGTATTAGAATAGAAGGTGTTTGAGGAGAAGCTGAATAGATATAGAGAGGATTTATATAGCGACAGCTAAGTTGCTCGGACTCCCATGTTGACATTACGTGGGTGTGGGATCTGTACCTGATCTGGTCAACCAGTTTTGTGTACTTTGACCAAATTTGAGTGAGAAATTTTGGGCAGATTCTTTAGTCACAACAAATACTAAGGTGAAATTGAAGAAAGTGGATTACTTTGTATATATAATTTTCCATTGTCACTCCCTTCCTTTTTACCGTATTTCAGGATTCTCCTCTTGATCAACATTTTCCACGTAATATCTCATCATTTAGGTTTTAAAACTCTATTTTAGATATTTGAAATTATTTTTAACCGAATGCCGACACCTGTATCCACACGTGGATCTGTATCCTCAAATCATAAAATTTTGAGCATCGAGGACCCTACTCTAGATCCCACCTGTATTGGACACCTGCACCCGAGTCCGAGCAACTTAGGCGACGGCAATTAGCTAGAATCGTTGATTGACTGCTCAACTCTCTAGCTATTTTATGGAGCCAACAAATATTCCTCGTCTCAGACATTTAATCATGAAAGTTTTTAGTAAGTTCATTTAATATACTTCATATCTTTCTGCGAGGAACTTATGCTGATTTTGTACTGGCTTCCACAAATTGAGGAAGAACTTCTTTTAGGCGCTCACTGTATTTAGATGGTTTATGATTCCTTTCTTTGCCTGTCATGATGTGTATATTTGTCTTTGTAATTGCAGTTGATATCATCTCAGCAATTGAGTTTGATAAATCTGGTGACCATCTTGCCACTGGGGATCGTGGTGGTAGAGTGGTATTGTTTGAAAGAACTGATACCAAGGAGGTAGGTTTCTTCTGTTTACTTTTAGAATTTTTATATACTAAAATTGATTGTTTTGATGATCATGTTCTTTTGTGTGCACTGTGTTCTTTAGCAGGTTGGTAGTCGACGAGAGTTAGAGAGAGTGGACTATCCAGTTAGTCGGCATCCAGAGTTCCGCTACAAGACAGAATTTCAAAGCCACGAGCCTGAGGTACACACCTCTTCTCTGTAGTCTGTTCTTTCTATCAAGATGCAACTATAGGTTAGGGTTGATTGCCACCGCCTCTATGCTATGTTCTGTTCCTCATATTCTGTGTCTTCTGTCTTCTTGTTGCTTCAAATAGAAGTATAATTTCTTATACCACATCTTTCCATTCAGTTTGATTATTTGAAGAGTTTGGAGATTGAGGAGAAAATCAACAAGATCCGGTGGTGCCAAACAGCAAATGGTGCCCTTTTCCTTCTGTCTACTAATGACAAAACTATTAAGTATTGGAAGGCAAGTTATTTCTTTTACTCGCTTCTTTATTGATTTTTTGGGGGTGTATTGGCATTGTAGATGACCCATAAAAAAACGCGCTGCAAATGAGTCGTAATCTTTATTTTAGTCTTAAGATACATATTGGCTTTGTTGAGGAGTGATATTAATAGTTATACTTCAAGCTCGTAGTTTGACATGATCTCCTCTTTTAACTTTGTGGCTGTACTAGAAGTCTAGAACATTGTTGTTGTGAATGGAATGTTGACACTTGATGTGAATTTGTTCGTTGTTGGTTGGAATGCGTTTGAACAGTTTGCACGGATTGTTTGCAAAACAATTGTCTCATTGTTTATGTCAGCCATGTATTCGTAATTTAAATGTAAAATAGTCAAGATATGGTGTATATCTTAAACTATATACGTCTGAATGTGGCTATCTTATGTCACGGCTGTGTATCAATTTGCTGATTTCCTTCAAAATGTTTTTTCCTGAATATTTTAGGTCCAAGAGAAGAAAGTTAAGAAAATATCTGAAATGAATATTGACCCTTCGAAAGTTGCTGGAAATGGCAGTATAGCCAGTTCGAGTTTATGTTCCAGCCCAAAGCAGTGTCTTGCAAATGGGGGCTGTGGAGATAAAGCTTACAGTTCTTTGAGCAATGATTTGTCATTTCCGCCTGAGGGCATCCCCTCACTCCGTTTGCCCATGGTAGTTGTTCTATTAACCTATTATATTATGTTTGTTTATGATGCTGATGACATGTCAAGTTTGTCAATCTATAGCCTTCTGGTAATGTGCATTTGTGCCCTTTGGTCTTTGAACTGTATCTAATCTTGCCTATCAAAAAAAATATGTTCAGTTTTATAAAATACATGTTGGGATAAAAATTTAATTGACTGCAGTTAAAGTGGATGTATGCGATCTTTTCATACTCCTGGTCATTTGAACGATATTTAGTATTATGTCTATAAGACTGTAGCAGTGTAACTTAGTCAATAAGTTGATTTATGAGGTAGAGTGCTACAGAAAGAAACACTAGGTCATTTGTGTATATGTCTATTTATAAAGTTTGAATTAAACATACAAGCTAGCCTTTATATACATATGCCTTTGCATAACTTTTTCATGTTGCTATATGCTTGCATGATTATTTGCCGACACCTGGGTGCTGTTATCCTTGACATGTCAGGCTTGGATTATCTAAACATTCATGTCACATGGCCTTGTATATTCTCTTTGAGGATATTAGAAATTTCCAATTACAATGAATGTAGCCTGCTTCATCCTCCCTAGGACAAATGCTGTTTGATAAATTTCACTTGAATCTCTTTTTAAATCTTGCATCTAAAAGCTTTGTATGTGAACTTCAGGTAACGAGCAACGAGACCAGCCTTCTTGCAAGGTGTAGAAGAGTGTATGCACATGCTCATGACTACCATATTAATTCGATATCAAATAACAGGTGAAGATCTTCATTACGATTATAAATGTGCTTCACCTTCTTTTTGAGTTCTAGTCTATAAGAGCTTATGAAAATTTCTGTCCTTCTCTTCTCTACTTAGTGATGGTGAAACATTCATATCAGCCGATGATCTTCGAATAAACCTTTGGAACTTGGAAATAAGTAATCAAAGTTTCAATATTGTCGATGTCAAGCCATCAAATATGGAAGATCTTACTGGTACATTTTCATGAGTTGATTTCAACTTAGGTCACAGCCATTCCCCCACCTTTCCAACTTTTACTGCTATAAAATGCGCTCGTGCTTTTTGACTGATACTTTCGGCTTTAACTAGATATTATTTTGTTACTGCAGAGGTGATAACATCAGCAGAATTCCATCCTACACATTGTAACACATTAGCTTATAGTAGTTCAAAAGGATCAGTTCGTTTAATAGATTTGCGGCAGTCAGCATTGTGTGACTCACATTCTAAATTGTGAGTATCACATTATCTTTTGTAATTCTGTTCTGGTGGGTTTATTTCTTCTTATGTTGGCTCTAAATTGTTAGTATCACATTAACTGTACATGATAAGATCCTGGAAGATCTAGGTGTTATCCACATGGGAACATCGGAAAATGTATTTTTCAAGTTCAAAGTTTGTATTTTTAATTACTTCTTCATAGCTTTTAATAAATTGGGAATTTTGGCATTCCCTGCATGCAGGTTTGAGGAACAGGAAGCACCTGGTTCAAGATCTTTTTTCACCGAGATAATCGCTTCAATTTCAGATATAAAATTTGCGAAGGATGGAAGATACATACTTAGTCGTGACTACATGACCCTTAAGGTTGGTTTCTTTGTCTTTACTGGATCTCCATATTTCAGTTGATTGATTGGTCAGGTGCATATCAAAATTTTTTGGTACTTCACGTTCATATTATTAAATCAGTTGAAGATATGCATCTTCGCTGTAAAAAAATGCATTTGTAAAGCTGAGTTTTTTTTTTGACAAGGTAATTTTATAAATGAAACCCAGCATCTCAAAGTTACCTGTTTCAAAATAAAAAAACAAAAACCCAGCATCTGATTGATTGCTGGTAATTAGAACCAATTACAAAAAAATCTAGAGCCCTTGGTGATGAAGAGAAATAATAAATCAAGCATGGCCCCGACATCCTGTGTATCATATATATCTGCTGTATCATATATATCTGCCATATCGCTCCAAAGGGAAAGCATAGAAATGCAAAGAAACTTGAGACTAATAACATTTTCCAATTGGTCTTAAAAAATTCTAGAGTCCTTTCTCTCCATATGATCCACCAGATTGTAGCAGGGATGACAATCCATACTTTCAAGTCAAGACTATATTCCAACCTTGAAGAAAAAGCTAAGACATCTCTTGGTATGGAACCCACTTGATTTATGAAGAGGAGGTCCCATAACTGAGATGTAAACTTACAGTTAAGAAAAAGATGATTGGTGTCCTCCAATTATTCTTTAAAACTATTTCTTTTACTATTTTTTCTCTTTTATCTGTTGTAGTTAGGAATGGTCAAAAAATTAGGACCTGTATGCTTTGGGGGTTTCAGTTTGGGGATGTAGCTCTCTACCTAGACGAGGTAGGGGTAAGGTTTGCATACTCTGTACATGTGTTGAGCTATGGTCCAATGCTTCGGGTGGAACCAATTCCCAGGGCCCGGGTACATATTCACCCTGGCATGCTGATCTACGATTACTAGCTATTCCAACTTTATGTGCCTGAGTTGCAGAAAACAATTCAAACTGAGGCAGTCGTTTTGCATTCACTCCGCGATACAGCGTTGCTTCCCATTGTAATTGCCATTGTAGCACGTGTGTGGCCCAACCCATAAGGGTCATGTGGACTTGACGTCATCCCCATCTTCTTCCATCATATCACTGGCAATCCTTTGTGAGTGCGGCACACCTTTTTTGTTTGTTTCGGAGCCGTTCGTTTGGGCGGGTGTTCTAACGCAACTAAGTACCACACTTCTGGTTTTACCTCTCTAACTCCTTGAGGCAGGGGAAAGGTTCGCATACACTCTAGTCTCTACCCTTCCTAGACCACTTGTGGGATTACACTGTGTATATTGTTGCAATTAGGATTTTTTCTTTCAAAATATAGTGTTTTCTTGGTTTGATCAGCTTCCCACAACTATATAAAATATTTCGTTTTCATCCTCAAGAAGGTGTGTTTGGTTCTCAAGAAGTTTGAATCAACTCAAGCACACAGATACTGTCAACCACTTGCTGCTGCAGTGCCCAGCTGCCTCAGACCTCTGGAATACGTTTTGTTGTCTTTTTGGTCTTTCCTGGGTCATGCCTTCCTCTGTTAGGGATGCTCTTGAAAGTTGGAGTTCACGGGAGGTTGACAAAGCCATCAAGAGTATGTCGATGATGATCCCTGGTGGTATCTTTTGGTGTTTATGGATAGAGAGGAACAAATAAGTTTTTGATGGAATTTTATGAACTACTAGAAATCTTTTGTGAGGTAGATGTCTAGTTAGCCTGTTTAGTTTGTTCAAATTGACCCCTGTAAATAATTTAGAACTCTTCTTGGATTTTGCTAGCTCTATAGTTTAGAAAGAGGCTACAAATCCTTTTTTGTGAGCTTACCTGGTCTATCCTTGTAAGCTTGCATCTTCTTGATGCCTTTAAATGAATCTACTTACTTCATAAAATAAGTGTTGAAGAGGGTTTATAGGGAAAAAATGGAAGAAGAAAGAGATAAGTAGTTTCACTTGAAACTTAAATACGCTAACCTCCAAATCAATTCGGTTAAAGAAGATGAAGAACAATTAAAGAATATAACGGAAATAAAGATGAGAAAAAAATATAAGAATTGTGAAAGATATTAATTTTCAGCTAATAAGCTGTTAAAAAATTCAACCTGACATCATTTTCACCTCCCACGTGCCGTTCAGAAAGTCATCACAAACTCTTTGCTATTTGTCCCTCGGGGATTTGATGTTCAAAATTTAGTTTTGGGTATAGCAGAACACCCGATAGTTTGCAAAACAATGATAGTTCATGGTTTTTTAGCCAGTAGCTCCTTGTTAATCACATGACTCATGGTTAAAACCCCACACAACTTCAATCGCATATATAATGCAAATATACTCTGTGCATTTGGAGGTTTTCTTGTGTAACCTAAAATAAATGAATGTCTCTGGAATTTCGAGACAGATGAACTACATCCTTGTGCATGCTTTTCTGTTCTTTCTTGTTATTTAATAAGATGACACATTATGCATATCTATGATCCTTGAGTTTACCTTTGCAAATTGTTGCATAAAGCTTGAATTCATAAAGTATCTCTGTGGTTTGGTTAGGATATTTTAAGTTTCATTGTTTTATGTATAGATTTTGGTTCATGAGGAGCAATTTTCTTTCATATAAACGATGTTAACAATTGTGGTGATGAATAAAATAAGACTGTCTGACTTGCAAAATGTACAATTCCTACTGCTTCCATTTTGAAATTGTACGTGTCACTACTAATCTATCCCTTTCCACTTGCTTTATTTCTTCCTGGTTGATTAAAGATCTCGAAACCAGCTTCATATGTCATCAGAAGATTGAATTTTTTTTATACTATAATCTTGGGTTAGTTGAGCTTTCACGAGTACATTTCACTTTTGCTTATCAATGAAAATTCAAAGAGTATTTTTGCTTTCATACTGTTGTCGTCATGACTTGAATTTACTCCAATGGCTCTTGCAAAATATAAATTGTGATCTAATATCGATTTGTGGTCCGTTAAGAGATGGAAGGTGCAAAACAAAATTCATACTAGTTGAGTTTTCACGAGTACATTTTACTTTTACTTATCAATGCAAAAATTCAAAGAGCATTTTTTCTTTCATACTGTCGTTATGACTTGAATTTACTCGAATGTTTCTTGTAAAAATGTAATCTTAATATCAATTTGTGGTCCGTGGTAAGAGATGGAGGGTGCAAAAATAAAATAAAATCATACCAAGTTTGATTGCAGAGATATCTTGAAGCTGCTAGTCAAATGTATTGAATGTGTTATCTAGCACGTTTCTTTCTCAAAACAAGTGAAATAGTCTCGAGTTTGATGATGATAAAAGAGGGATCTGATTGTTTATTCAAATTGTTTTATGGATATAATTGGCTAGATTGGTGGAGTCATTGCACTTGAAGAATTGAGTTATGGTTTTAATCTTTATGGTTTGTCTTAACTTAGGAACTACTCCACCTGTATTTTTATTTTTCAATAAGTAAATGTGTACTGCATAAAAAGGATAGCCTTGAATGAAAGGTGTGTTTCAAACGGTAGGTTATTTTGTCTTAACAATATTTGATGTTAACACTTCTGGTGTTTGCCAAACACCAAAGCAAGCTCGTTTGACTAGCATATAAGACAATCCAAACAACCTCTTAAAAGCAGTCTCTGTTGTGTGTGCACATGTGGCACACCTTCAAAGACAGACACACTCACTCTCTCTTTGCTGGCAACTCTTAACTTTTGAATTCCTGCTAGGTCTAGTTTTTTCCAGAATTGTGTAGACTTTAGAAGTTCATATTCTTTCCATCATTGTCATTGATGTTTTTTCCCTATCTACAAACAATGTTCCTTCTGTTACTGAACAAACCTTACCTTTTCAGCTATGGGACATAAACATGGATTCAGGTCCAGTTTCAACATTCCAGGTTCATGAATATTTAAGACCAAAGGTGAATTACTCGTCACCAAAGTGTTTTGTGAACTTGGTTATTTTTAAATTGTTGAGCTGATCAGCAAGGCATTTTGTATTTTCTGCAGCTTTGTGACTTATATGAGAATGATTCCATCTTTGATAAATTTGAGTGTTGCCTTAGTGGTGATGGTTCGCGAGTAGCAACGGGGTCTTATAGGTCTGTAGAATTGCTTTTCAGCTTTGTCTTATATTATTTCTCCACCTCTTCTTTATTTTTCAACAAATGATTACTCTCATATCAGCAATCTTTTCCGCGTATTTGGCTGTGCTGCGGGGAGCACTGAAGCAACTACCTTGGAAGCAAGCAAAAATCCTATGAGGTACCTAAGCTAAAATACTTTTGGCATGTGCATGCATTTTGATTTTGTGTTGTAATATGCCTTAGTCTGATGGCTTTGATTGTGCTCCTCCAGAAGACAAGTCCAGACTCCTTCAAGGCCATCCAGGTCCTTGGGCAGCAGTTTAACACGTGTTGTCAGGAGAGGTATGCATTTTCATACACGCTTGTTATATGCATGTATTTTAATTTGTGATGCGTGATTAATCTTTTATGCATGAACTTTTTGCCAACTGCTCTTAATATTCTGTCTTCTTTATGTTGTGTTCACATTGCAGGAGCTGATAATGCCGGTGTTGATGCAAATGGAAACTCATTTGATTTTACGACAAAACTGCTTCATCTGGCATGGCATCCGACGGAAAATTCCATAGCATGTGCTGCCGCAAACAGCTTGTATATGTATTACGCATAAGTCATAACAGGAGATGTAGTTTCTTGGCTAGCATTTTTGGGTTGCTTTTCGGGAAAGGGTTTCTTTCAGAGCAACTTGAGGTTCTACCATTTCTCACTTCCAGGTGCCTCAAAAAGGTGTAGGTCCATGCTTTTGATGTCAGGGTCCAGATGTACCTGAAAGGATCACCAACAGAGCGACTTACATCTTCGTGAGTGGACAGATGGCGTGGGATTCTTGCTCCCTTCTCCCTGTTTCTACTTCACCCTTTCCGAGATCTCCTATTTTGTTGGGTTGAAGTCATGACAGAATGTCATTGTAGGTTCCTTACAAGTAATACTGTTGGATGTGCAAACTTGCCACTAGTTCTAAGCTAAATATAGCTTTACTTGGAATCTTGCTGAAAAGAGCAGCTGCTAACTTGCAATGGCGTTGAGCTTATTTTCATGGATAGTCTTATTTTCTTTTGTAGGTTAACTTAGTGTGCTTTTTGCTATAGATTATTAACTAAAGTAATTTTTTTCTTTCTGTAAAAGAAGTTCAAGAGAAACTGCATTTGTTTCTGTATTCTTTCCTTTGGTGAAGTGTGGCTGGTACAGCTAAAACTTGTGTCAACTTCAGAATCTCAGTTTTCAATTTGGATAAAAATTGCTAGTTTTACTTTGCTTCTGGACCAATGTGAGGAAACGTTTTGTGACTAATATGAAGGAACATTTGTATTCATGTAGTGTGCATATCGCTCTTGGCTTTTTGACTTGTCAACTACAGGCAATGTTGGAAGTTTTTCAAGTAGTCTCATCTTTGCCCAAGTGCTGTTATTTCTGTCTGACCCAACAAAAAAATAGTTAGAATTCCCATCAATGAAACTGTGTAGTGAAGAACATTGGAAAAGTACTTGGCTCTCTCCTTAAAATAGACACTTGTACATTAACCCTTCTTAGGGGAGCAAGAATCTGCATGCCAGTCCCCTTGAACTACCGGGGGATACAGGAACCATTTCTTATAGTTTGATGTTTGAAAATTGTTTTGATCAATTTAATTTTGGTGACGTGGACTTCTAATAAGAGGCCATGTGGAAAAAAAAATAACAATAACATAACCTAATGAAATCACAAGTGGGGTATGCCGGGTAGAGTTCACGCAAATCTCGTTGAAATAGAGAGACTGTTTCTGAAAGACTTTTAACGCACGTGCAGAAAAATATTACGATAATGGGGACAGAATAAACAACTGATGATATTGGATATAAAAAGCAAGAACTATAATATTATAACTAGTATAAAACAAGGCAATGCAAACCATATATCCTCCTTATTTAGAAGTGATACTTTGATGAGGACTAACACAACAAAAAATTGTACAAAAAGCATTCTAAATGGTTCTATAAAATTATACTTTCTCCCCTCCATAGAAACACGTGGCAATACCACCATTTTGCCAACACAATTGTTAAGCACATGTACTACAAAATTATAGAAAAATAGTTCTGTTCCCCTTTGCTTCACAATTATTGTACTAAATGTCGCCAAAATTTGATCAGTCGGAGTTATCGTCAAAGTGAGCAAAGGTGAGTCTTTCTTTTTCTTTTATTTTCCGACAAACAATAATATAAAGTCTCCTACAAACGTACTTTTGTTGAATTTTGATATAATTAAAGTGTTTGATAATTTGCCTAAAGTAACTAAGCAAGTTTCTCTCTTCTTCTTTTTTAACACAGGAGTTCTCTACTTGCTTATCATCACCATTTCAGGAGGTGTATTTATTACTATCTAGCAATAATAGCAAGTAATATGTCGTTATGTTGGAGAAATGCTTTTGAACAATTTTCATTTCGTTTCACATTATTTTGATTTTCAATATTCATGTAGTTTAAAAATCAAAATATTGTGGGCATATAGAGTACTTTCACTCTTTCAAGCCTAAAAATTTAGACATAAGCATAAAAATATGCAAATAAATAATAAAGTCTGCGGGAGGGCTAGCTTCCTCCTCCCCACTTTCAGTTCAATAGTATTATTAAGTAGTCCTGCGTTGTCGTATTTTTAATGTATATTACTATTACTTACTTGCTTGCTTCATCTCTTTCTAATTTGCTGGCATATTTTCTTCAGGAACTCTTCTTTTGAGTCAAGGGTCTACAGGAAACCACATTTAAACCATCATAAAGATAGAAATAATGTCTGCATATATCTTGCCCTCTCCGTAGTCCACTTGCGAAATTACAATAGATATATTCGTTGTGTTTATCACATTTCTTCATGTGTAGACTGCCGTCGAATAATGCAGCCCTTTGGACCCATCATATAGCAGACTCCAAAACTCTAACATGGCATTCTTTCAAAGTGTGGTCATAAAGGAAGGGAAAAAAAGAAAAGACAATAGAGAATGGGAGGAAGATAAGTCAATTATCCTTGCAAAAATTCAAAACAAAAAGCAGGATACTCCTTACAATTGCAAACACGAAGCAGGACAAAGAAGAAAATAAGAAATATATGCATAAGTCGACAGTTGGAAAACTGTTATCAAATCATCATCACATGTACTTAAGATTTGGAATAGAGAATCAAGCTAAATTACTGAGGAATCATCATATTTTGGCTTGTATTTTCAGTATTAGATTGCATGCTAACTTATGTTCCTTAGCTATGCAATTTTTTTCGTTGTTTTCAACTTTTATCAAATAAGTATTCATATAGCATGAGACATTTTATAAATATTTCTTTTCAAATGATCCATGTAAAATCCTTAAGATCCTCTTTGTTGCATCTAACATTTGTTTGTATGAATTTGTAATGAAGATAACTAGAAAAACTAAGTTTTTTTTGGATTAAAATCATTCTATTTTTGTTTTGGGACAAATTTTATTTATATAATGTATATTATCATTTTTCGGTTACAAGCTACCGCTAAAAGAAAACTAAGAAGTTCAAATGGATGACATAAAAAGGGGTGCTAATTATGCATTTCTTTGTTTGAATTTGAAACTGTATACTCATTTTTCTCAACTGTTTGAATGATTTATTAATTTTTCATTAATTGCAGAAGCTATAAAAGTGTATTCCTCTGACACTCCACTCGACAAATGACCTTATCGACTTTAGGTAATATTATGCTCTCCTCTTTTTCGTCATGCAATGTAATGATTTTTTTCATGTAATAATGTCATACTTATATTTCTGATCTTGAGTGTCACAATGCCTATATTTCTGATCTTGAGTATCACAAGTAAAAACTCATGTTAATATAGTTTTGTCCAACTATTGATGACCGTGACTGATTGAGAACTTCCTAAAACTAAAGTTGAAGCGAATATGAATAATTTGATCTATGATTAGGCATTGAATGCTCAAAACGTTATCAAAAAAGAAAGAGTGAAGTTTTTCATGGAGTGTACATCCATAAACATTTTTATTGCAGTGCAGTGGACATCCATACTTCGATCTATTGATCAAGCATGTCCCTCACAAATAGAAGATAATTTTGATTGTCAGGATAAACGATGAGTGGATATTTCAATGTTGGTTAAACATATAGAAGAGTTTCATTACGCAAGAGAATATATGTCTTACTAGTTTTAGGTAGGTTTGCAAATCTATTCATATCTTGTTTATGGAGAAACTTTATATGAAAATGAGAAATTTATTCATCATTATTTCATGTGTACATCTTCTGAAGATGGACATTCACCTTTAATATAATAGGGAGTCAACTACTCAAATATTATACTTCGTATTTTTGGAGGATTCAAAGTGTTTTTTTTTACTTTTTATGTTTTTCTGGTAATGCAAAGATGGATTGATGAGTTTCATTTGAAATGATTCTTTTCTTATCGTTCATTAATATATTTCAGTTAAACAAATGTTTGCTCTAAATAAAATCATCCTGCTCTTCTGCACTTCCACTTCCTTGTCTGAGGTAACTTATTCTCTCCAAGAGCACTGAAATAACATTCCTAATTTGGGATGAATGAGTAATATCCATTATGGAGTATCTTCAAGGGGAATAATTAAATCTTACACGCTTTCTCTTAATAACATAGTTGAGTCATTAGATCTTCAAGATCTCTCCGTCATAACTTAGTTGATTCATAACTCTCCTTTACAATTTTTGAAACTTATCTCTTATATGAAAGATTTTAGCATACTGTGATCATTCTGTTTGTTTACTTTCTTCCCAAAGGTAACATGAAGCTCCTACTACGTTGTTTCTAGAATGAAAAAACTGATTATGTACTATACATCACATTACACCGAAAACTCATAGAGAAATATACATTAAGAGCATCTATATGGCGTGCTTGAAGATATTAAACAGTTAATACATATTTTGGGTATTATATCTTATAATGGTTGACTATAACAATTTGTAGATACAATATTCTTTTATCTAACAAATGATGTATGCAAAATTGGCTGATGTGAAAAAAATAAACGCAATGTATTTTCATTTTGATAACATATGTTGGTACTGTGCCTTTTGGTTATTTTCAACATTTAACAATTCACGATTTCTGATATCTCCACTTCACTGATGTGAAAGATGTTACCTTTACTACATTTGTAGAAAGTGGTAATTTGAGATGAATAATACGTACTTTTTTGCAAGAGTATATGGTTATTTACCGACTAGCTAGATGTATTATAGTTTGGGACTTGTATTAGTTATAGAAGGTGTATGCAATTGTTGAACTATTATAAATTTATGTAATTATTACTAAGTTGAAGCACTTCAAACACCTATTTATGTATGTTCGAAAAATGTTTTTTCCCTTCTTATTCTTACTTCTCTGTTTTTTCTTTGTCAAGTTCACATATTTTACTGTCACAATCTGTCGGGTACTTTATTTTCAGCTCTTTTATTGTGCATTTTTTGTATTTTTGAGTAGTTTATTGTAGAATTTTGTACTTTTATGCTCTAAATTTCTTCTTAGTATACTTTTTACACACATCCCTATCTGCTTATTTGTTAGACCAATTATATGTCGGGTAAAGTTTTTTAGCAATTAACTTTGTTGAACATGAATGTCTTCATTACAAGTATTTCTCAACAAATTTCTACATTATTCAACTAAATTTTTTTTGTTTGTTTATCTCGGGACATTCACTACTTTAAAATATAAAATGTTGGGCCCGTGCGTTGCACGGTCTATATCCCTCTAGTATATATATATATATATATATATATAAATATATATATGCAAGAAACCATATCAACTGCAAGGTGCTCTATACTATCACCAATTTTTTTAGTTGAATCATTGGGGCTTATATTAATTGGAAAAGATAAATACAAAAGATAAATACAACAAACTCATTTGGGCCTATTACCCCTCTATACTACCATCAAGCCAAATATTTTGAATAGGACAGTACTAGAAGTGACAAACGAGCGAGTCCAGTCGAATATGAGTCGAATAAAAAATGAGTTAAATAAAAATAAATAAGTTATCCGACTTGACTCATATTTTAAATTGATAAAACGAGTTTATCCAATGGATAATATGGATAACCATATTACCCATATTATATTAGAGATGTTAAATGCTTTAAAAAGAAAGAAAATTTTTTATCAGTTAACTCCACATGTACCAGCCCC